GCCATGCCGGGCCTACAACACTAGAATCTGGGTTTCGATTCCCGTGGTGAGCAGAGCACAGATAACCCATTGTGTAGCTTTGTGCTTAAATAAAAAAGGCCTGGCATGGCCAGGTGGTTAAGGTGCTCGACTCGCTGTCTGAGGGTCGCGGGTTCGAATCCCCGTCACACCAAACATGCTCGCCCTTTCAGCCGTGGGGGCGTTATAATGTGACGGTCAATCCCACTATTCGTTGGTAAAAGAGTAGATAGTCCTCGTGTAGCTTTGCGCGAAATTCAAAAACAAACAATCTAGTGTTGTAAGTCCGCAGACATACCGCTGTGCCACTGGAGGCAAATCTAATGAAGAAAAACATTCGAAAAAAAGTTTATTAGCTTAGTATCAGAAGACTCGGGTTCAACGTTATCTACAAATGTATATGTATATATTATTAATCAATAAAATCCCACTAATAAAACTCGACAAAAAAGGGGGTAAAGGGGTACAATAATAGAGGTTTGATTTTCATGTACATAAAAATGAGATTCTGCAGTGGTTCCAAAATTTATTTGACCGTCCGTCCCTTCCTCTAAAAACAGAAAAAAATATTACTATAACTAAAATTAACCTTAGGTGAGGAATAACTTGAATAGAAATATCAATTTTGAATTGCAGTGGCGGTTTAGTTTTATTATGTGTATGTTCGTAAACAAAACTATTTACCTCTCGAAGATTCTGAAACTATGTGAAAAGTAACCGAAGCACCCCCTGCATCGTGGCCGAAAACTGTGACTTTTGCCGGGTCTCCACCGAAAAATTGAATATTTTCTTTAACCCATTTCAATGCCATCTGCTGATCTTTGAGGCCAAAGTTACCAGGAGCTTCTTCGTCATCAGTACTTAGAAAACCTGAAGGGATTAAAACCTTGATTAAACTACACTTCATCAGTTTAATCTTGTTCACATCATAACAATTTGTTATTCGTGCAATTTGATTATGTAAACAACTACTACTATGTCTGATTAGTCCTGGTATTGGGCCAAAAGCGTCATCGGTATTAGATACAGCAGACATAATGTGATTATACATTCTTCTTTATCTTTATATATAAGTTCTTATAGTTGCTGTGAAGATCGACATCAGGATATACATTAACTCGAGAAAATAGCGTGAGCTAATTTAGCATATCTATACATTAAATTCAAACTTCTCTCAACTAAAAAAGATGATCACAAATTAATTTTCCAATTTGTTACGGAATTAAAAATGGCGAAAAAGTGCTTCATAAAAGAAGTATTAGTTCAAGCAGCAAATCAACTGAAAATTGTTATCAAATAATAATAAAGTTAGGGTTACGTTTCAACTCTTCGTTTCAATATATGATCAATGATTATTCTTTCAGATTTTAATTAATTATCACTAAAAATAAATTTATAGTGTCCAATCAGACGTGCAACGTCATCACATTCTTCAGATTTCTGGGAAAGCAACAAGTTTCCAAAGGTTTATTTTTGGTATATAATTTTATATACATATATGTATGTGTTTCACTGAAATTTGTAATCACCGAAGGCATGAATATTAAGTATAGTATAATTGCTACATTACTTCAAAAATATACACGCTTAATTAATAGCCTCTGCTAATTATAAAGGTACACAGCTGATAGACGAGAATAGTCGTGTTAGCGTCTACTAATATACACACATATATAAACACAGTTGATGGACGAAAATCACCATGTTAGCCTATACTAATACATACACACACATATATAAAACACGGTTGATGGACGAGAATCACCATGTTAGCCTATATTAATACATACACACACATATATAAACACGGTTGATGGATGAGAATCGCCATGTTAGCCTATATTAATACATACACACACATATATAAACACGGTTGATGGATGAGAATCGCCATGTTAGCCTATATTAATACATACACACACACATATATAAACACGGTTGATGGATGAGAATCGCCATGTTAGTCTATATAATACATACACACACATATATAAACACGGTTGATGGATGTGAATCACCATGCTAGCCTATATTAATACATACACACACACAAAAATTAACACGGTTGATGGACGAGAATCACCATGTTAGCCTATATTAATACATACACACACATATATAAACACGGTTGATGGACGAGAATCACCATGCTAGCCTATATTAATACACACACACACATATATAAACACGGTTGATGGATGAGAATCACTATGTTAGCGTCTACTAATAAACACAGTTGATGGACGACATCACCGTATTAGCCTCTACTAATATGCAGACACATACATACAATTAATATATGAGAATAGTTATGCTATTCTCTAAAAAAAGCACAGTTTCTGTATTCTAAAAAAACACGGGGTTGTTGAGGGCACTTAAAAAAAGATCATGATATATAAAGATGATACAGAATAAAATCTCTTTTTTTATAGTTTTATTCTCTTCTAGCAAACAGTTTTCAACCATCTATATGTAACCACTTTTCTTGTATAAGTGAAAATCATTCAAGCCAATGTCATGGAATTATTAAGAAACGAATGATTTATTGTGGTCAATAATCACTAGACGATTGTAGTCGGCTATTTGCAATTTTTTTACTTCAGAGTTTAAAAAAATCATAAAGATCATTTGAAAATCTAGCTGTTACAACGGCTAAATCTATAGAGCTAATCTCTTCTGTTAGTCCTCAGAAAATTTTATTAGTCTAGAACAATCTTCTTTTTTTATTTTAATAAGAAAAGTTGGACCAACTCAAAAGCTTAGCAGATATGAAATCTTCAACAGGCAATTGCAGTTCATTGAAATTCTCAAAACTTCTGTCTACTCTGCCTGAAGGTACACTTAAACAACTTGAAAGCATGTTTAAAACTGGCTGGTACAATAAACTATTCCACTCGCTGCTCGCCACGTGATATCAGTTTCCCAAAATATTTGTTTCTTTGTTTAAAAATCAAAGCTTCTATATAGACTATGTACACTGTACCCACCGCATATCGAACCCCAACTGTTAGCGTTATAACCCATCAAGCTTACCGCCGGGTCATGGGAGGGTTCTCAAAAGAACAGCTTCCTTCTACATGGGGAGGGGTGTAATAAAATCTAGCTATTCCCAGTTTTCGGGGTTTTTATTTTATTTAATTTATTATTATTGTTACGTCTCTGGTCGTTTGTTAATTTCCGGTATAAATTCTTCCAGAGGAACTTCAGTGATACAAGTCCTTTCTTAAATAAAACTAGTTTATTCTTTCTCAATACAACTTTGCAATACACAGAATTTCCACAGTCACTTTAACTTAAACACACGCTATAATTCACAACGATTCACGCACTTTACTTACGGTCAATCAATTATCTGTTTCTATATCTGTCTATCTGCAATTATATCTCCGCTTTATTTGCCGGGCTTATATATAAAAAAGAGGGTGCCTAGAATAGACTAGAGTTGCCAGGAAAAGTCATGATCCTTCTAGAAACGCATGACGTGTTACCAGCGTCCCGTGACTTCCG